CACTTCTTAAATTTGGGCAGTGATCCAAAATTCACCACTGATTTACAAGAGACCTTAAAATGGCTTCAGGTCGGGCATAGTCAGATGATGCCGTCGTTAAAAAGGTCACACTTCCTGCAGGAACAGTACAGTGGTGCTGAAGAAATGGCTCTTGGGAGGCACATGCCTTTCACTTTTTTCAGGCTCCAAATAATTCAGCAAGTCCCATTACTATAGTGACCTCACTAGAGTTTGTTGCCAATACAGTGGCAGTAATTTGCAAACCAAAACACTCATAATTGATTTTATGAATTTTACCAACATTATTATAACTCATGCCTTCAAATATGTATGTATTAAAATGAGTGTATTTTTTTCTGGGCAAACACATTAATAGATTATGTAAAGTACCTAATCTTTTATTCTAACCCCAATAATATCCTTCTTACAAATGGTCTGATCTGCATTGTCCTCCTGTTTCTCTGCTTTGTGAAAATGCTATTTGCACACCCAGTTCAATCATTTCTCAGTTATGGTCTGTAATGGCCCTTTTAATGGTCCCTCCATCATTTTGCTCCTCTTTTCACCAGCAACTGCATTGACCTGGCATTGATTTAAGAACTTGTTCATAGCCAAAACCAGTTTGGCTCAGTGGATAGAGTGTCGGTCTGTGAACTGAAAGGTTGCAGGTTCAATTCTGGTCAAGGGCATGTACAATGGTTGCAGGCACATCCCCAGTAGGGGGTGTGCAAGAGGCAGCTGGTCAATGTTTCTCTCTCATCGATGTTTCTAGCTCTCTATCCCTCTCCCTTTCTCTCTGTGAAATATGAATAAAATATATTTTTTAAAAGAACTTGTTCATAGACAAAGCATTTTATCTCATTGGACCCTCAGGCTCCTTATCTATAAAATTATTCCTTAAATTCCTTCTATCTCTAAAAGTTTGTTGTGTTTCCAGGACTTTCTGCTCATTCTGTTGGTAAAGGCGACTTATCTATTTGTGTTTATGCCCAAGAAACAATAAACAGTATCATAGTAACTTAGGCTGTTGACTATTCATTTTCCAATTCACCTTTTAAGCTATTTCAAGCTACTCTCTTTTCCTTTAGTTATTAAATAACTTATGTATTATAGATTTTTAAAATTTTCAGACTGTCTCACTATATGGCTTCTCTGAGCTGAACCTATTTATAGGTCTACTAGAGGCCCAGTGCATGAAATTTGTGCATGGGGGTCAGGTGTCCCACAGCCTAGCTTGCACAATCTGTAATCTGGGACCCCTCAAGGGATGTCCAACTGCCTTTTTAGGCCCTTTCCCACTGGGACTGCTGGCTCCCAACCGCTCACCTGTTTGCCTGCCTAATCATCCCCTAACCACTTTCCTGCCAGCCTGATTGATGCCTAACTGCTTCCCTGCCAGTCTTATCCCCCCCACCCCCAACTGCTCTCCCCTGCAGGCCTGGTCACCCTTAACTGTCCTCCTCTGCTGGCCATCTGGTGGTGGCCATCTTGCGTCCACTTGGGGGCAGTCATCTTGTGTGTTGGAGTGATGGTCAATTTGCATATTACCTCTTTATTATATAGGATTTCTAAAATGTGGTTATTTGGATGCTCAGATTTTTCATCTTCACCTAGCTGGCATGGCTTAAAAGCATTATTTTACATTATATTACACTTAATGTAATGCTTTTTTTTCACTTCCTAGATTTTTCATTTGGATTGGGCAATGTAATTTTTAGGTTAAAATGGTTTTCTACTTTTTCATGATAGCATGATCTTTTTTTTTTTTTTCCATTTCAAAATTAAGTCTTTTCTTCCTTGGCCCTGTTCTTGACCCTAAAATGTATTTTCATTTCTTGTATTTCTGCCTTTTCTTGTATTTCTCACCAGTCTCTTACAATGGTCTAAAATCTACAACTCTTAGGTCAAAGAAGAGGGACAAGTTTTGATTTAGAAATCCCTTTCATTCTCTTTACTTTTCACATTGTTTTATGCTTACCAGGTAATTAAGTCATTCTAGTCATGCCTCACCTGAAATGAAAAACAGTACTTGGCTTGTAGTAGGCATTCTTTAAATATTTGTTAAATGGGTGAATTTATTTCATAATCTTATGAACATTTATGAACCAAGAGATATTAAGACACCTAAAGCCTAGAAATTATGGCCGGCCAGCTCTAGGAAGACCAGATTTTACCAAAAGCCTTGTTAAAATATGGTGGGAGAGAGTCTTCTGTTAATACATACATAGAGTTTTGGTAAAGAGTACAAAGAAGAATCAAGCCAAATTAGTCACCAGAATTTAGTAAAGTGTACAAAGTTATATACTAATTTCTTAAAACAGAAGCCTTGATTTCTGTTTTATTACATGAAAGCAAAAGCTCCCTAAGTTAGAATACCTAGATATGTTCTCTATATTACAGTTATTTTTAATCTTCCCTGGGTTATACATATTAAAGGTACTTAATGAAAAATTCAGAGTGAATGAATGGAAGGATGAAATGAGAGTTGAACAGGAATGTGAAGGCATTGAACCTGAATAGACATCATGGGAGAGGAGAAAAGATTGAGAGTTGGAATCCTGGCTGCTCTTCTACCTACCTGTGTCATCTAAGATAGTGTACCTTAATATCTCTGAGCTTCTGCTTCCTGCTCTAAAAAATGAGAATATATATACTTATGCCCTAGCCTTCATTGATGGAAGATATATATATATTGTGTTTACTACATCCCTCAAATGTTTTCATTTTGAGGCCTGGGTAAAGGTATTACTATTAACTTTACTTCTGAAGCCTAAAAAAATTGGTTTTGTTTATCTCATATAAATAGAGTAAATTATGTAACTGATTATGTCTTCTTTTTTGCATTAATTTCTGGAGAACATGGAACTAGATTTTCAGCGCACTTCTGGAGAAATATGCAGTCCTAATCATGTATTTGAAATATTAACACTCTTCCCTGCCAGCATCTTATTTCTCCTCACAGATTGCATAATCTTATTGGCTTAGTTCTTAAATCTGGATATATCTTTGTAACCTGGCTCAAAATGTTTTTGAAACAAGACAGTGAAAAAGAAGAAAGGAAGAAAAATAATACAGGAAGGAAGTAGATAGAAAGACAAGCAGACAACAAAAGAAGAAAGGGAAGTGAAGAGAAGACTAGGCAGTCGGGTGGATAGCCAGGCCCTACCTCCGAGGGTTATCGTGACATATAAATGAGATTGTGTTTGCTTATACAGTTAAGGCCTCAACATTTTCTATTATCCTTCAGAGAACCCAGTAGACCAAGGTTTTTTTAAATAGATAAGGTAAACGATAATAAAATTAATTTTTATTGATAGTAAAATATATGTTTAAGGAATTTAAAAAATAACTATTTATATATATTTAATTCCACAATTTTTAAATGATGTTCCCTGGAGTTCGCACTGGTACATAAGGTGACAAGGAGTCGGGATAGTAGAGGCAGGAGGGCCTTGGAGTTTTTTCAACCAAAGGCTCCCAGAATTGATTTTGTGGTTTTGTTTTCATTTGTTCACTTTTATTTACATGTAAAGTTTCTGTTAACAAATGGGAAAACAAAAGTTTGATACCACTGATATATGTATATGACAGGATAGTAAGTTGGGGAATTATGGATGTGGATTTACAAAATTAAGCATAATGCATTTATAGCCTGCAGATTTAAGTGTTAAAATTGTTTTCAGTTTTGTGTGCTTATTGGTTGCCATGAGGAACAAGTACAGCATTATAGAATAATGTAACAAAGAAATAATGTAAAAGATAAAATCAACTTAAAACATTCTGTCACAAATTTAAAATATTTTTTAAGTCAGTAGTTTCACTAACATGCCCAAAATATAATTATAGAAATACTCCATCCTCTATTCTCCCACCAGGAAATCGGTAAGATTTAGTGGAAGTCCTATATGAAACAACTGGTGTGGATTAGCTAGGGGCATTATATTCTCCAATATAGTCCATTTTCTGTTTCATTCTCTTTCTACCACCCAAGGCAGCAATAATGCACAGGAAAAGAGAAGTAACTCCAGCATCAGCATTATATTTCTCAGCAAAACTGGCCTTTCTGGGAAGAGAACACCTATAAGCCCCTCAGATTCCCATATATCGATTATTAGTCAAATTTTCTTCCTTTTTCCCTAAATGTTTATAGAACTTTGATAACATCTTTGTAAGTTATAAAATGTATCCGTTGTGTTGGCCAAACATTAATTTTCAATGTGAATATGACAATGTGTCTAAAGGACATCTAGATAAAAGTAAAGTGAGTGTTTTTTTTAGTTGTATATTGCTGTGTAGCAAACTACTCCAAAGTTTAGGGATTTTAAAACAATCATGTTATCATCTCTCTTGACTCTGTTGGTTTAATGGGTACAGCTGGGTGATTCTTCTGCTCCATGTGATGTTAACTGGGACTGTGGACACCTGGGGGCTCAATGGGCTGAAACGTCCAGAATGGCCTGGTCAGGTGGCGGGCAGTGGAAACTGCCTGTCAGCTGGAAACAAGCAGGAACTGTTAACCAGAGCATCCAGTTCCCCTTCATGGGCTTCTTCATGTGCCTTGACATCTCACTGCATGGCGGTGAGAGGAACATCCCAAGAATGGGCATTCCAAAAGGAAGAAAGCGGAAGTTTCTTATTGAGACATGGATTTTCTATCCTTCTAAATGGTCAAGGCAGTCACAGGGTCAGCCCAGACTCCAGGGGAGAGAAGTCAGCCCTGCTCCTGATGTAAGCAGCAGTCCCTACATAACAAGGAGAGGAGAGACTGGTGAGGGCCATCTTTGGACATCACCATATGGAAGGTTAAAAAAAACACACACAAAACTATTTCCTACACTTTGAAAGATAGTTATAAATCATGAGGAATGCAGAGAAATAGTTCTTCACTTAATAAATGGAAATTGCTTTTGAAAGAAATTGGCACATTAGGAATTAATGTGCACAACAGTCATTCCTTATGTTCTCCTCCTCTGCAGATCTGTTGCCTAAAACAATAAAAAATGGCCAGAGGATCAGTGTCTGATGAAGAAATGATGGAGCTCAGAGAAGCTTTTGCCAAAGTTGGTGAGTAGATCTGATACCTCAAGTAGCACAATTCTCTTCTTCATTGACTTCAGGACAGATTCATTGAAATGGTAAAATGAAAAAAATAGCAGAAGTAGCAAGAATACAATGATATTAGGAGTTAGGAAATTTAGTTATGAAAGATATCTTTCAAAAAATGCTTCTTTCTCTATCAAAACATGGAATATAGGCCCTTTCTTACTGTAGCTTTTCCTGGAAATGGCTCTTGAGTCTCATCTTTTTATTGCATCTACTTTCTTTGTTGTTGTGTTTTCTATGTGGGTTTTTTTTGGGGGGGGGAGGGGTATTTTATTTATTTCATTTTTTTTCTTTTTTTATATCATTAAAAAAAATTTTTTTTCACAAACCAAGCTTGACAGTTTGGAAATCCCTTTGTACAGTTTATAAAATAATAACTTCTAAATGAAGGCCTTGATTCACCACCAGACCAAGCAATTATGTAATCAATTTCTGTTCACCCTGTCATTGCATTTTCAAGTCAAATTGCTTCCATAAGGTGGAACAGCACTACATATGATACATAACTTTGAAACATTAGCCATCAGACATGCTAGGTTGCCAGGCACCTGACGTCCCAATGACAAGGAAGGCATCCTGTGTTATGTTTCTACTTCTGATTTACACTCAGAGGAGAGTCAGCCAAAAGACAAAGTGCTGCGGGTCAATTGTATTCTTGTATAATTTCTCCTGCATTAAGTGGTGTTTATTCTCTGATTTCTCATACTTTTTCTTACTCCTTACCTCCAAGTCTATGATTTATTATTATTTTCTTGTCTGGTTTTATTAGAGTCCCTTTCGATTCTGTTACCAAACCTCTATTTTGATTTTATGACTCCTGGACATTGGAAGTGATGTTAAGGAAATATCCAACTGCAGTAGGCCTCTCGTGAGAGTGCAACTCTTGCACGGAATCAGGTCATCACTTTTGAATGATTGCTCTGCTGCCTGCTCACTTCTCACCTAGCCTTCACTCACCTCTCTTCATGCTATTAATTGAATTGCTCTGAAACTATGATTTGTCTTTTGCCTTACAGATACTGATGGGAATGGATATATCAGCTGCAATGAGTTGAATGACCTGTTCAAGGCTGCTTGCTTGCCTCTACCTGGATACAGAGTGAGAGAAATTACAGAAAACCTGATGGCTACAGGTGATCTGGACCAGGATGGGAGGATCAGCTTTGATGAGTTTATGAAGGTATGATGCATAATATAAGGAGATGCATTTGAAACTTGGAACTTTAATTCAAAAAATATATACAGAAATGCATTTCCACTCTCCTTGCTTCAATATTATGTATTCTTTGTGGGTTGTTTTTTTTTTTTATCACATATTGGATTTGTATAGATATACTAGGGGCCCAGTGCATGAATTCCTGCACCTTGAAAGGAACTGTGGGCCATGAGTCTGCAATAGGCCCAGGGGCAGGCTTGGCCCATCCTCCATGCCCTGGCCCGGCCCCTCCTGCTGTGACCCCAGTACCCTGTCTGCTGGCAGCCTTGCTCCCACCATAGCCACTTCCATGTGCTAACGGCCCTAGCTCTGCTCCCACCTGCTGATAGCCCGGAGTGATTGGGGCCAGCGCCAGCAGCGGTGCAAACAGGGCCAGCACCATCAGTGGGTGCAAGTGATGGCTGCTGCCCCTAATTGCTCCTCAGGAGCAGGGGATGGTGGAGAAGGCCACGGGGGTGATCAGGGCCGGCAGCTGCCACTTGCACCCACTGGGGGCACTGAGAGATCAGACCTACACCCGGTGCCGGCAGTAGGTTGAGCAGCAGCTCCAGTGCAGGGGTACAAGCGGGGCCAATGCAGGTGCAAACACCAGGAAGAACTGTGGTGCACAGGAGCAAAGAATTTTCAGTAACCACCAGAGGTTCACCTTGGTCTAGTCCCCTGACTCACCTGCTCTTCCATCCCACCGTGGCCAATGTCGCCATGTTCCACACACGTCCCTTGGTGGTCAGTGCACATCATAGTGACCGGTTGTTAGGTTATTCGGTTGTTCTGGTTGTTCTGCCATTTGGCCTATTTGCATGTTAGCCTTTTATTATATAGAATTATATTTTTGCAGGTTTTTCATGGCCTAAAAAGCACCGACGTTGCCAAGACCTTTAGAAAAGCAATCAATAAGAAGGAAGGGATTTGTGCAATTGGTGGTACTTCAGAGCAGTCTAGTGTTGGCACCCAACACTCCTATTCAGGTAAGTTGTACTAATGGGTATGAATGGAGGTAGAGAGAGTATTGGGATGAGGCGAGAACTGAGGGCACAGGGAGAGGGAACCATGCAGAAAGGATTTCTTCTGGGATTACAGATTCTGAACTTAGTATTCAAACTTAAGGGGTACAAAGAAAGATAGAAGTTAAGATTAATTTATTGATTATTGCCTATTTTCCAGTGCATAAGTGGGCCAATAGTTCCAGCTCTGGGTAAGGCCCAATACCAAATAATTGTATCAGCATTTTAAAAATACATAAAGTCTGGCAAAATTCCTTTGTAAATCTTTTGGACAAAATGAGCTACTCAGGCTTCTACCTTTAAATTTCATGTTTATTCTTAATGCCTACTGAGTGGTCCAAAAATTTGTATTTTCATTGATTTGGAAGGAAGTTGTATATTTATTCTGAAGATTCTGAAAGCTATCATCCAACAACCTTGATGGAAACTTATAATAGCCCAAACAGTACAATAATCCAACAAACCCCAAACTGAGCTCTTCAAAGCATTAGTTGTTCTTAAAGATAAGTTCATGGTTAAGTAGCATCTTCAATTCTTCAGACAAAGTTTAGCCTTTTATTTTAAAACTAGAGGCCTAGTTTTATTTTAAAACTAGGGCAGGCGGTGTATGGGAAATCTCTGTACCTTCCTCTCAAAACTGTTCTAAGAAAAGATTCTGAGAAAATGTAGCAGCAAGTCTTTGCTTGCCAATCCAAGAACATTGCTTGTATTGAAAACAGGAAGAAGCTGGAGGACGTAGGGACATCAGTCTTGGTGATACCTTCTGTGACCTATCTTTCAGCCCACACTTAGCCTGGGTAGTTTATAAGAGATTTGTGCAATAGGCCTTCCTTCCCTTGGCTTCCAGCACAGGTTTTCCTCTGGCACCTGGGAGCCAGGCCTTCGCTCTGGCCAGAGTCTGCTTTCTTGGTCTTTGCTGCAGGCTCAGACCAGAGTCTGCCATCTTCATCTTTGCTGCAGCCAAAGTGCTGCTCCTGTAGATCCCTCTGCCTCACCCCCACCCTCCCTCTCATAGCAGGTATCCTGCCCCGCCCAGCCACTCCATGCCTGGAGCAACTGGGTGGCCCCCATCTTTGTCCTTCTAATTTGCATATTCCCTCCTGATTGGCTGATGGGCATAGTGGAGTGATGGTCAATTTGCATGTTTCTCTTTTATTAGTGTAGATACAGAAATATATAAATTATTTCATACATTGTGAAACTTCAAGTCAGTGATACGCTATGCAGTGTTTCTCAAACTTTTGTGACTTAAGATTCTTCTGAGGGATACTATTGCTTTCAATAACAGACAAATTGACAATCACAGTGCTGGGCACTACTTGAAGTTTTATTAAAATTTCTAAAATTGACCTCTGGCAGTTTTACTGGTAGGAAAGAAAGATTATATCACAAATTATTTCATTTCATTATAAAAAAAATTTAGAGGTATTGCAAAAATTGCCTGTGATTTAAATCAACAGGATAAAGACAGAGCCCCCAGTTTTATTCTATAAGAATTAGATCACATTTATATTTAAATTATATATAAATATAAAAATATATACTTTGTTATTTATATATATTTACATATATAAAATATAGCTATAAACTTGCTTTTAAGTATAAAATAATGTCATATATATATATATATCTTCTAAAACTACTTGCTGTATGTTTTCTTTTTTAAATATATATTTTTTATTAAATTATTATTTTTGCACATATACCAATGCTCCCCCTTCTCATAATTGCTGTATGTTTTCTGACTTGGAGTGAGCAGAGATTCTGTGCCTATACTCCAAATGTCAATAAATATGAGATCAGATGATGGATGAGATGACCTTGCAATGTCTCTCCTGTGCATGAGAATCTAATATCCACATGTATAATTTTTATATTAGATTTTTACTTTTCAAATCATCCATTTTAACCATTTACTTGCAGAGGAAGAGAAGTATGCCTTTGTTAACTGGATAAACAAAGCCTTGGAGAATGATCCTGACTGTCGGCATGTCATCCCAATGAATCCAAACACGAATGATCTCTTCAACGCTGTTGGGGATGGCATTGTCCTTTGGTAAGTAGCACTTCCTTCTTGGTTTCTGAAGGTTTCCCTAGAATTTTCTAGAATACCAACAATTAATTGTGTTTATCCTAGACCAAATTCTCTTGGTGTCAGCTGGACTTGAAATGCTTTTCTTTGTCAGGTCCAGGAGAAACCTACTGTCAAGAGCAAATTATAACAAAAAAATGTAAAACGACTATCTTTTAGGTGCAGAAGAAGGATGCACAGTCTAGAGAGAAACATAAACATAGAGATATAGGGATACAAGGTCAAGGCAATTATTTTTGGGTTATATGCCACTTTGCTTCATTGGAACATGGCTTGCATGAGAGTAAACAGAATTAATAATAGCAGCATAATAACAGACTAATACAATGGAAGTCCTATGCAAAGGGAATTGTAAGTGGCACACACAAATACACAACTGAGGGCACCTGAAAAGGAGAAATGTATTCTTCTATAGGAGGTCTCAGAACTCAGCTGGTCAATTCATGATGGTGTTTTGAAAATACCTCTCCAGCTCTTGCTTTAGCAGCTTCTCTGTCATCATAAAATATGGTATTAGTGAGGAGGCTTGAAATGCCCAATCTCAGGTGAGTCCATGTGTTGAAAGGAGGGATAGGTGGGCAAGACTTTAAGCCCCTTTTCTCTCCTCTGACCAGAGAAATTCTGCTTTTGATATTTATTAGAGTTTATTTTTTAAATTTTCAACTGCTAAAAACACACACACAACATAGCCTGTAGGATCAAGTCCTGGTTCCTTTGTTGGCACCCAACTTCCCCCATCAATCTTCTACTTTTCCACCCAATACCCTGTCTCAGGAACCCAGTCCAGGGTACTGAATACATGGCTTTATAAATGACAGCAAGCATACAGTACTTGCTTATAATTTGTAACTGTGGCTTTGCCTTTTATTTTTAATAATGCCCTTCCCCATCCTTTCCTTTTATACATCTAATTATGATATAATTTCCTGGTCTATTTCAACCTCCACTGATTTCTTCCTTAACTGAATTCTAAAAGCACATGTTCTTTGTAATACTTTGAAAGCCATAATAATGTCCTGCTTTGGACTGTTACTAGCTTTTTACGTCCAGATATTTTGTCTCTGTAGTTGGATCACACACTTTTCAATGTCATGGGTATCTTACACTTTTAAAAGTCACCTCTCTGCAGCAGCATCTCCCAGAGCTGCAGAGAGGTGACTTCAGGTTCACTCCAATTTCATATTCTTTCAAATTATGATTAAGGAGTTTGTTTTGCCTATATTGTAGTAAAATGCCTTTCAGTTAAACAGTAAAGTTATAAAAATACATCTTTAAACAACCACCACCAAAAAAATGTAGTTGGAAAAATTGTTAATGTGATTTCTGATCTCATTAAAAGAATAGTCAAATTTAATATTCTTTGAATTTGTTATTCTTTGTATTTTTTCTAACTCGCTTTTTAAAAATAAGATGGAGGTGAACTAAGGAAATTTAATTTTTTGTTTCATTGAAGGTTAAATCAATGCTGATTTGGGTAAAATCAGTTTTTCATAAACAATATCTGCTAACTTTGGCTGTCTGATTAATGTATTATCTACTTGTGTGGGTGAAATTTCTAAAGTGTTGATAAAATAATGACTACAGAAAGATATAAAACATTTAATCATGTGACTAATTAAAGGTATAGAGTTTGACCTGGTGTCAAACAGAAATTGAGACATCATATAAGCTCAAAAGTTTATAATATTTTATGTAGTGGAACAATTTTTATGGCTGAGAAAGTAAAGTACTTATAGAGGATTTGCTTTGGCTCTCCTCCCAGAATTTCATAATATGTTAAGGAAACCAAGATAATTTTGTAGCTTTTGAGGTAAGGGGCTAAAGTGGGGTCCTTATTTTCTAGCTCAATATATTAGTATGAGTTAGGAATATTAACCTTCCTTCAGATGGTTTGAATCTCATCAAAATTGCATAACTGCCCTGACAGTGTGGCTCAGTAGTTGAACATCAGCCCATGAACCAGGAGAGTTGATTCCTGGTCAGGGCACATGCCTGGATTGCGGGCTCAATCCCCAGGGGACAGGAGGTAGCTGATTGATGACTCACTCTCATTATTGATGTTTCTATTTCTCCCTTTCCCCTCCCCTCTCTGAAATCAATAAAAACATAGAAAAACATTTTTAATTGCATAACTGGTTTTATATCTAAACACTGGGTAGCAAAGATTATGTTGCCATCTTGTTTACAATATTGCTAGAATTTAAATTCAGTGTTACTGGGCCCTGTTATTTAGAAGCCTGATTTCTTTAACTTGTTTCTCTTTCAGTAAAATGATCAATCTATCAGTGCCTGACACAATTGATGAAAGAACAATAAACAAAAAGAAACTCACCCCTTTCACCATTCAGGTATGTCTTCCCTCTGTTACTTTCAAAGAGAATTGTGCTTGGAGTGAATGTTCACCAGAACAGCTGAGTCACACTTGTTCATGGCTCAACATTATTCCCAAACCCTGGGTTTTGGTCTGGTGATTGTCATGACTAATGTAGATAGAGGGACACATTTATGTTTATTCTTTTATGAAAATAACAGAGGTGGGAGATGCAGTATTGAAAGTGGGGAAAGGTTAGCCTAGTGTGAATAGTTTGGGAATTCTTTGTTTTTGGCCACTTATGAATAAAATTCACATTGGTAAAGTTTTTACTTAAACTTAACCCAGCAATTTATCATTGAGCTGATGCAAGTTACATAGCATTTTAGCTGAAAAGACAAGACTTTCTAAAAGTGAGGGGGGGGAAAATGAGAAGTGTTCTTACAACCTGCACAGTGCTCTTTGCTGCAGCCACCAGAGTGATAAATATAACCTGTTTTTAGCCTTCAGTGTGTTGATTTACTGGAACAGTAACTAATCGGTAGTAAGTAATCGGTTCTATGTTATGTTCCAGTATTTAACATTATCGTAATTCTCTTGCTCAGAAGCCATGTCTCATTTCTTAAATCATGAACAATATAGTAAATCGCGTTTGGATTTAAGCAACCCTGAATACTTAAAAAAAAATTTATTGATATCAGAAAGGAAGGGAGAGGGAGAGAGAGAGACAGAAGCATCACTAAGGAGAGAGAATCATTGATCAGCTGCCTCCTGCATACCCCACAATGGGGATAGAGCCCACAACCTAGGCATGTGCCCTGACCAGGAGTCAAACCATGATCTCCTGGTTCATAGGTTGATGCTCAACCACTGAGCCATGCTGGCCAGGTAACCCTGTGTACTTTTAAAATGGAATTGTTAACCAAAGAGAACAATGATGTTAAACCTCTATGAAGGAACTTAATGTTAAATTTACTCATAATCTTGGTCAGAAGAACATCATTTGAACTACACACTAGGGTTAAAATATACCTTTCTTCTCATAGTTACTTTCCCAATTTGACTGGTGGCTAGTATTTTGTTTTGTTAATTTAAAAATTAACATCTCTGACTCTGATAAATTCTCTTTATTGAAACTAAAAACAGTATACAGATTCTAGACTGAAGATTTCACTAACAGTATTCCAACTGAAAGTTACATTATATATATTGTTGTTAGTGACAAGGACATATAATCTATACACATGTGTGCATGTGTCTGTGCACACATGGGTGTAAGTTTGTGTGGATGTGGATGTGCTCAAGGTCCCTAGATATTACCAATACTCAACAAATTGTCCTAGTGAGAACCACTCTATCTTTTCTACAAATTTGATTTGTACTTTTTTATTCCTTTAATACAAAATCTGAAAGTCAAAAAGATATTTTCTTACTCTCTTTTATGACCTTGATAACAATTGTTTTATTAATGATAGACAGTGACAGGTAATGAGGGTATGTCTTACCCTCAAAGGTGCCCTCCTTTTCTGGCTGATGGAGATATTGAGTGTGAAGGCTCCATCACAAAGCAGGATGGAAAAGTATATGACTCATCTGTTTCATCTTGACCAGAATAGGTCTTCAACTCAGGGTTCTGGTTTGATTGACTGGACACTACATAAGCCCTGTGTCTGGGTAATGGATTTCCTTTTCTAGTCACTGCTTTTCCCAATGTCAAAATTTAGTGCCTCTACACCTGTGAAGGTTCCAGAAGCTGACAATCAGTAATCATCATTTGGTATTTGCAAAATCAAAAACAAAACTTACATGACCTCACTCATTTGTGGGATCTAATAAACAAATGATGAACAAAATAGATCCAAACTGATGAACAAAATAGATTCAAAATATAGAAACATCAAACAGATTGTCAAACCTTAGAGGGAAGGCAGGGGAAGGTGGGTGGTGGGAAGAGATCAACCAATGAGCTTGCATATATCTGCATAACCCATGGATATGGACGATAGGGTGGTGAAGGCTTGGGGTGGAGGGGGTAGGCTGGAAGAGGTCAATGGGAAGAAAAGGAGGACATAATGTAACAGTTTCAACAATAAAGTTTTAAAAAAAAAACTTTCATACTTTTTCTCCCTCAGGAGAATTTGAATCTGGCTCTGAACTCTGCCTCAGCCATTGGGTGCCATGTGGTTAACATCGGGGCTGAGGACTTAAAGGAGGGGAAGCCTTACCTGGTCCTGGGACTTTTGTGGCAAGTCATCAAGATTGGGTTGTTTGCCGACATTGAACTCAGCAGAAATGAAGGTACAAGTAAAGCGTCAAATGTCATTAATGACATGGCTTTTTATTACTGATGTGTTGGGGGCTATCACAGGTGATGTCAGGAATAGTCAAGCTCAGAATCCTCAATTTTTTTAAACTATAGTTATATTGACTTCATTGTATTAATGTAATAGATTTTATCCATGCTGACCAGATTTTTTAAAATGATGAAACAAAAGCTTTTTAAGACTACAGACTAATCATAACACATTTTTAGACCTATAGCTCAGTCTTGCTGTCTGAGACTCCAACCTCAAGAGCTTTTCTGAGTTAATTTTGCTTTTAGACACTTTGTAAAAAGTCTACTCTTAACTTGTGTTTTATGAAGCGATTCACATTCATATACTGCAGTGATACCAATAGATTAGGAAAAACTTGATATAGTTCTTACCAAAATGATAAAAAATTACATTTAGTGTTTCAAAGTTCTCAGCTAAATATGTAGCTGTGAATCTATTTCTAGTTGCTCTGAGCATCCTCTCTGCATTTAACAATTACAGCCCTGTCCTTTAAACAGAAGTAATAGATCTTGATAAGTATTATGTAAAATGCAGTGTTACTTTTTGATTTTCAAGTAAAGATCCTACCAATACAAAATCTGTAGCCAAATTCTAATCTTTATAATTTATATATGATATATATGATATATATGATATATATGATATATATATATATATATATATATATATATATATATATATATATATAATGTTATTATATACTTATAAAGTCCAAATCTCAATAACCTGTGAAGAATCCTGGGGTAATATAAAATCAATATATTAAGCATAATATAAAGAAGAAGAAAAAACAGAGAACTCAGAGTCCACAAGAAAGACTATCGATTTGCAAATAATGACCTCAGTTAAATTTAAATGTTTTTAACTGAGGAAGAAATATGTATTTATCTGGAAAATATAGAAGAAAGAGTTTATTCTACTTTTTGAGCTGCTATAATTATTCTAGAAAGCACTTGAAATATTAAACACAATCTATAGAACATAGTCATTATTACAAAATTGATCACTTAAAAGTAAAAATATTGTCATCTCATGAAATGTGATCTGACAGACCCCGTAAAGTGTACTGAGCCAATGGTCTTGTTTATTTCCTTGGCTCTACCAACTAAGAAGGCATAGCATCAAGATTTATTGGTGCCTTTTTTCCCCATCTGCAAAAATAGGGGTAATAAATTAACTCACAGTACCTTACACCTGTTTTTAGGGAATGATGATAAAGTATTTACTCCATGGGAAAAGCTGTGAGTGCCTTTACCACAGAGAGATGAAGTTGCTATCTTTGGCTTTCCAGCATAGCATCCTCCCAAATATCCCTGTTTTCATTTTACCTCTGCTTTTGTGTGCCCTCAGTTCTGATTGCTCTTCTGAGAGAAGGGGAGAGTCTGGAGGACTTGATGAAACTCTCCCCTGAGGAGCTCCTGCTGAGATGGGCTAATTACCACCTGGAAAGCGCAGGCTGCAACAAAATCAGCAACTTCAGCACTGACATCAAGGTAGGAGAAGTGTAACCTGAACATGATTGATGGCAGCGGTGAAGGGAGTTTGGGTGTAAATGGAGTAAAAATCAAGGCAATGGGCCCCATCTCTAGATTCTGGGGTTAGTTCGAGAGTGGCTGGTGCTGTTTTGGAAGGCTTGATGTTCTCAAGTCCAAGTGCTGGGCCACATACAGGTCTGTCTGAAGTTTAGCAACTGCCCGGCAACAAAAGGTGATGGGCCTTTCTTAGAGTTTCAATATCAGGAAATAGAGGGATGAGAAAGAGGTAGAAGAAGGGCAAAAGATAAGACTGCTTATGAAGTATGTGGAGGACTACAATGTCTTTTCTGATTTTATAAATGAGACTATCAGGTCAGGATTCCTTTAAAAAATTAAATGAGGTATTAATTATATTAATACCAGCACACATAGTGTCTACTGTATACTAGGCACTGTTCTAATTGCTTTATATATTTATTGACTCATTAATCCTCACAGCATACCTTTGAGATAAAGATTATTATTTCTTCATTTTACAGATAAGGAGGCAGAAGTAAAGAGAAGTTAAGTTGCTTGTTCAAGTTCTTACAGGGGGGTAGGGGGGGGATAAAAGGGTCAGGATTTAAATCCAGCAGTTGGCATCGAGGTCCCCGTACTTGACTGCCATACTACACTGCCTCTCAAAGAAAACAAGTTGTGAATTTCTTGAAAGGTTTTCCTTTGTATGCACCAATGATTTTTAAAAGATAATGATTCTGGAAACTGTCTGCAATGAGAATTTACTCCAGAGTGTGCAGAAGGCATAACTGGTCCTACAACAAAACTCACAAAGGGGCAAGGCTGAGGGAAGCATGCACTATGGTTTTCAATTTTGTGCAAAGTTCCATGTCAAAGGGAAAGGGAAAGCTGTTGGAGTTGATGGCAGATGGATCCATAGAAAGAGCCTAAAAGGGAGTGAGAAACATCAGAAGGCAGTCCCATTTGTGAGACGCTGGGTGCAGCATACAAAAAACACTTCAGCCTCTACTTTCTCAAAACTTAGAGATTTTCTCCAAAGAGAGTCAGAGGAAAGGGCACATGGCTCACCAGGAGTCAACTTAGGCTGATAATTCTTTTGTTGTTGTTGTTGTTAATCCTCACCCAAGGATATTTTCCATTGATCTTTTAGAGAGTAGGAGAGGGAAAGAGAGAAACATGGATGTTAGAGTAACACATTGATTGGCTGCCTCCTGCACCTGTCCGGACCAGGGCCCCAGGTCAGAGAGGGGCCTGCAACCAAGGTAACAGCCTTGACTGGAATCAAACCCCGGCCCTTTGGTCTGCAGGCTGACACTCTATCCACTGAGCCAAACCAGCCAGGGTCAGGTTGATAATTCTTTAGGTGACAGCTTTCTCCTGCTATGGACTCCTGGCTTTTAGAACTCAGGGCCTGTCAGGCCTGGTGCCAGTTAGACTGAAGCTTCTAGGATGTAGAGTTCCTCATTCCTTAGGACCTAAGCTAATGATGCCAATTCATTTTTTTTTTTTAACTACACCACTTTCATTGATATTAATAGTCTTCTAGCACCGCCGACCAAACTGGGATTGAATAGGAGCTGGAAAGCATTATCTCCCTGTGTGCTCAACAGTTAAGCTTTGCAATTGTTTTAACCAACATTTTCAAGCTTTTCAGCCAAAATTAGGCTGTGTAAGCTAAGCCATAAATTCATCTGCTTTCCCATCACTGAGAGGCTGTGTTCTTCTGAATAATAACCATTTCAGACTTGGGAACTGGCAACCTGAGCGCTTTCATACCCTGTTTCCCCGAAAAAGTGTCTTATATTAATTTTTGCTCCCAAAGATGCGCTAGGTCTTATTTTCAGGGGATGTCTTATTTTTCCATGAAGAAGAATACGGTACACATTTACTGTTAAATGAAAATAAAGGAAATTTATTACCTGTATACGATACAGTAGTACGGTAGTTGTCAACACAAACCAGACAAACTGTGAATCCTACATATCAAGAATGTACTCATTTATTCAATGACAATCATGTCATCATCTTCTGGAACATCATCATAACAATCCAATTCCTGAATTTCCTGGTGAATTTCTTGTGACTCCATTTCTTTCAGAATCAGTGGACCAAATCTCTCATGTTTAGCCTAGGGGGGCCTTATTTTCGGGGGGATGCCTTGTATTTCACTCAGAAGGAAACCTGTAAGTAGGTCTTATTTTTGGAGGATGTCTTATTTTCGGAGAAACATGGTAGTAGTCATGTCTGTTCTCAGAAGCAGCCGCATGCCAACCCAGGGCAGTGCCATGACATGGATGTCTGAGCAACAGGCAACTCTGAGGTGCCCTTACATCACACCAAGTCAGCAGAGGTGGGGAGAATGCTCCAGTGCATTCTGGGGCCCTTTCTTCTAGCAATAATTAACAACAACCAGCCGGCGGGCTGCATAAGGCCCTCAAAATCATTTGGTCTGGCCCTGCAAAGGCATTAGGAGTGGGTTCATCAAATGTTTGACCAAACAGAGCAGGCTAAATTTTAAATTGATACTTTTGTCTGGCCTGTGAATGATGTTATATTATAAATATCCAAATGGCCCTTGGCAGAAAAAAAAGGTTTCCTACCTCAGCACTAGAGTGAGTGAAATAGATTTTCTAGGATCAGATGAAATAAGTTGATTCGGGGCAAAGCTAAACAGATGTAACATGTGGTAGGCAGATTTTATTCATGCCTAGCACCTGCATGAAACTTTTACTGGCTTTAAAATAGCTGCAGTAAAAATTAAGAGGAGGGAAAGGCAGAAAGAAAAGAGATGAAATTCAGTTTCCACAGGTGCAACATCAATAGCTGGCATTCTCTTGTTCTCACTGTCTAACACCACAGGTGGTGAGCACACATACCCTGCTCTCCCCAGGCCCTATCCGGGTTCAAAAACCAAACAACAAAAAAACATAACAACAGCTAATTTTTCAGTCTTTAAGAGAAATAAAAATCTCTTTAAATGGTTTTTAAAAATTACCTGAAAATCTGCATGTTTTCACTGAATGAGAATACAGTATATCTATAATTTTAAGACTATAATTCTGAGAAATATGCTTTTTGTCAATAAGCATATTCCCAAAATATAAGAAATCATAATAATTTGCTATCTACATACAATCTTCTATAACTTAGCTAAACCACTTTTTCTAATTTCTGGATAAACATTAAATTAACTTGTCATCTCAATATCTCTCTTTTTACATAAAAACTGCTTTTTAAAATATTCTTCTTTTGCTTATATTATCTATTTAAATGTATTTGTAAACTCTTTTTTAAACTTCTGCTTCCTTTTTCTGTCACTTTTTAAAAATTAAACTTTAGCTGACTGACTTCAGCAATATAAAGGAATATATATTTTCCTATATATATATTGTCCTGTATAGTTTCTTGAAAAACTTTAGTTTTGCCACTATTTTAATATTGATCTTGAGAAATCATCTTACTCATTTTTGTGCCACAATTAATATTATTAGACTTCAAACCAATGAGTTGAATACATCTTCATGAATTATTTTTCTCCCTTAAGGCCAAAGGAATAAATAGTATTTACATTTTTGGGGGTTTTCTTTTGTGTATGTCCTATACTTTTAATGTTATACTCCTTGTAAAAATAAAAGCAAATATAGTATGTAAACAGACAAACAGAAAATTCAAATTAGTGAATGTTTCCAGATTTGTTAATTAAGTTGCATTCTTGAATGATAGTTGAATAAGAAATGAAAAATATTTGCTTTTGGGAAATCATTGTACTAAGTATGTAATTTAAAATTGTAATTTCTTATTTGCTCACAGGACTCAAGAGCATATTATTACCTGCTGGAACAGGTTGCTCCAAAAGGAGATGAAGAAGGTATTCCTGCTGTTGTGATTGACATGTCAGGACTGAGGGTAAGGCCATGTTCCAAGCTCTGTTTAGAGAACATGATGCTGCTTTTCACTGGGGTCCCACTGGCCGTACAACCTGCCTCTGGGGTTGCGTGAGGGGACATCTCTGTTGAAAGCCTTTAAAAACTGTTAACAGTTTTGGGTAATAATTGTGGGAAATTTAACCTGGAAATAAATATTAAGGAAAGAAAGAAACTAATACCAATTAAGTGTCATACACCATTCTAGGCACTTCTGTATATTTCCCGTCATTTAGTAGACTCCAAAGTGCCAAGAAGTATTATTTCCATATCTAGGTTTCTGAGTATTATTTCTGGAAATAGATGAAATATTTATATAAATAAATAAATTCTCCCTTTAGTGATAAAAACTAATCCGAAGGGTTAATTAAGATCATATGACAGATTTTTGGAAGTAATTTGATCCATGTCTGGGGCCCTTTTCCTCTAGCAATAATTAAAAAAAAAAAAAAAAAAAAAAAGGAATCCCTTCTTGTTGAGTTCCTCCAGTGTGCCAGGTACTATGCAAAGCATATTGCATATACAGCCTCTAATCCTTACAAACATCACCGAGGTGTTAAACTGCTTTATTGTTGAGAAAACTGAAGGTCAGAGAAGCTAATAATCATCTCATGCCACAGAGCCCAGTGCCTGATACAGCAAGAATGAAACCAAAGGGTGGCTCCAAAGTTCACCCCGCCACAGCCCTCCCTCACTACAGCGCTAAGGTTGATGACATTTTTGGTAGACAAAATCTGATGGCTTGTATAAGAAATAATAAAAAGTAAGCTTAATAGATGAAAATAACTAAATCCACTTAATAAGTTATAGAATCTACTGAATATTTTTAAAATATATTTTCTTTGTTGATAGTATTACAAATATATCCCATTTCCTCCCATTTTCCCCTTTACCCCCTCCTCCCAGCTCCAACTCCCCACAATACTGTTTTCCATAGTGGCTGCACCAGTCTGCATTCCCACCAGCAGTGAACTAGTGTTCCCATTCTCCACATCCTCACCAGCACTTGTTATGTTTGATTTTTTTTTTCTTATGATAGCCATTCTGACAGGTGTGAGGTATTATCTCATTGTGATTTTAATTTGCATTTCTCTGATGATTAGTGACTTTCAGCTTTTTTTCATATGTCTCTTGGCCATTTGTATGTCCTCTTTGGAAAAAATATCTATTGAGGTCTTCTGCCCATTTTTTTATTGGATTGTTTACTTTCATTTTGTATGAGTGCTTTATATATTTTGGACATTTACCCTTTATCAGATGTGTCATTGGCAAATATGTTCTCCAATGCAGTGGGATTTCTTGTTTTATTGGTGGTTTCTTTTGCTATGCAGAAGCTTTTTCTTTAGATGTAGTCCCATTTGTTTATTTTCTCCTTTGTTTCCTTTGCTCTAAGAGATGTAGCCATAAACATATTGCTGCCTAGGAGGCAAAGTTTTTGATGCTGATTGGCATAGAGACTGACCAATCCGAACCAAATTGGCTGGCAGGGAAGGGCAGGAGAGGACAGTCAGTGGTGATCAGGAAGGCAGAGGCAGTTAGGGGCAATTAGGGCAGGAGGGGAGGGCCATTAGAGGTAAGAACAGGCCAGCAGGGGAAGGCAGGGGGGGCAACCAGGCCAGCAGGGGAGGGCAGTTAGAGGCAATCAGGCAGGCAGGCAGAGGCAGTTAGGGGCCATCAGGCAGACAGGCAAATGAGTGGTTAGGAGCCAGCGGTCCCAGATTATGAGGGGGGTGTCAGACTGCTGGTTTAGGCCCTATCCCACAGGGGTCAGATATCCCCCAAGGGGTCTCTGAGCTATGCTTCTTTCCCTACAGAGTTGGCTCCACAGGTGTCAACTGCAGACACTTGGGGTCCTGCTAGCTTTTGCTTCATTCAGTATTCAGCATTGATGTCCACGCAGGAAGTCCTACTGGTGTTAGCCTCCCTAGGCCTTCTGGGGCGGTGTCTACTGAATGTTTTAAAAAACAGGACAGCCAATCATTCATCTGAAATGGTCCTGTATAGAGATGAGAGGACTCAATTACTTAAATCCCAAGATTCCTTTTATTTGTGATTTTTCAGATTTCAGGAGAATATAAATAATAATATGCTGTTATTGAGTGCCTATTTGAAGTTAAACACTAAAAGTTTCCTTTGGTAAAATTTCCATTTCTTTTTCTATTATCCATGTCTACTTTGTGCATGGAGAGCCTTAACCCAGCCTTGACTTTTTCATTGCAGGAGAAGGATGACATCCAGAGGGCAGAATGCATGTTGCAGCAGGCGGAGAGGCTGGGCTGCCGGCAGTTTGTCACGGCCACAGATGTTGTCCGAGGGAACCCCAAGTTGAACTTGGCTTTCATTGCCAACCTCTTTAACAGATATCCTGCCCTGCACAAACCAGAGAACCAGGACATAGACTGGGGGGCTCTTGAAGGTAACTGAAAGCCAGTTGATTAAGAGTTTAAAAAATCATTCTCAATTCTAGTCAATTCAAAATCACTTCCTACGCAAATATAAAACCCAAACAGGTTATGAATTCTCTGATACATAACAAAGAGAATAAAATAGATTAATTCAATCAATTAGAGCAAAGCAAGAAACATCAAGTATTATTATAGCACATCCAAAATACAAAGAATTTATCCATTATCAGAATTGTTTTAGGCAAGACAATTAACTTAATTATCAGATTAAATAAGTTCTAACTTCCAAAAATCTAATGATGTACTTAAGGGTCTGAGTGTTAATTCCTAGAGGCAAGAAATTGTAGCCACTCGTCATCTAAAAATGTATTTTAACTATTCTAGAGGGTGCTTTACTGAGGTTTTTATTTTGTTTCTTTGCTTTGGGTTATGGGAGGCACACAACCATATTTTGAGGCAAAAATCCCTGACAATTATGGTTTGGGAGTTAATTCCCTAAGTGTGAACAAAAAAGCATATAGTGTTACTCAGTTTCTAACAGGTAACAGTGCCAGAGATGTTTATTTTTCCCATCATGAGTTAGTCTCAATATTAAGACAGGAAAATCAAAATAAAGTTAATATTGACTATCACCAAAGAAAGGAAGTCCAGATTTAACATATTGGTTGATTGTTTTTCCACAATGCTTTACTCTAGCTACAAATGCAAAATTAATTTGTATTCCAACACTAATGCATTTGTATCATTTGATAACTTGTGGCCAGTGGCCCATGCATTTTGCTGACTCTATGTATATATATCAAGCCTCTACTCACCCAGCTGCCCTAGAACATTCGCCTTTGGATCCTTCGCTATCACTTGAGATTCAGCATTTACAAAGCAGAATTGATCATTTCTCCCACACACATATACCACTGTCTTTCTATTCTACTCTCCTCCTACCCCGTTCCTTCAGAAAGTCTCCATTTCCATTAACCTTACCATTTTTTTTCTTTAATTACCAAATCCATCAGTTCTACCTTAATATCTTCCTCATCTTTAAATGTATTGTATCAGCAAATACTAATAATTCTTCCTATAGAATGGCATTTTGATCATTATTTTTCCTTTATGCTCTTTTAGACTTTTATTAAATCACACACCAACTATTCAATAGGTCTTGGGGACCTATTCCTTCATTCATTAAGCACTTGGATATGCTAGTGTCAAACACTATCCCCTCTCCATTTTTAATTTAATTTAAGTGTATATTGCCTTCCAGAAATTCTACACACTGCTGTCAGGCACCTCTGTTTTCATTATATCCCGGCCTTGCTCAAGAATTTATTTTAGTAATATAAAAAAGAACCATAAAGATTGTCCAACATATCAACCCAAATTTGCTACCTAACACAAATATCCCTGATTCTGGTTCCAGCCACTGGACAGCATTATCTCCCTGCACTGAATACAGATCCCCCCAAAAATCAGTTCCTAATGGTTTTAATAAGATCTTGCCTATCACACCCTTTGGGTTCATATTTACTCTATCTCCTAATCCCACCCCTACTATATCCTTAAATCCTCTTCCCTTTAATCTTCATTAACCAGATTTTATCAGTTCTAGAAAGTGAAGCTCAAATTCCTCTCCTTCCAAATTTAGCCCATACTATTCTCTCCCCTATCTCAACTCAAATATCAAATGTGTCTATCTCGCACCATAGTTCTCTAACTTACATGGTCTATGGAAAAATTAACACAGAATAGCAACCTCATCCAAATCCATTAATTTTTAAAATTCTACTTCAGATTTTATTACAGCCTCTTTATTTAAACTTTAATAAGGAATATTTTCTATGAAAGATATGCCTTATTAAAGTTTATATTTTCTATGAAAGATATGCCTTATTTGGGCCTGAAAGATAACCAGTCTTCATTAATTTAGGTGAGACAAGAGAAGAACGGACATTTAGGAACTGGATGAATTCCTTGGGTATTAACCCTCGAGTCAATCATTTGTACAGGTAAGAATATTTGGAGACTCTGAGATCTTGAAAGATCCCCAAGATTTCAAAAACTGCTATGATATGCAATTCTCTTCACATTGATGAAAAGGGGAGAATTGCCAAACTGGTCTGCAGATGTTGATATTCAGAAAAAGAGAAACTCACTTTCATACACCAACCTGGCTATGTGTTTCATACAAAATCATAACATAGCAAAAGGACAAATGTACTATACGTTGCCAGTCTATGTATGATTTTCTCACAAGTAGGCAAAACAATAAATGTTAAGTTTGTGATTATCTCCTATATTTCTTACTAGAGCCATATTTTTTTTCCTGGAGGCAATGAGTTTTAGTTGAAGGGACATAAGTCTTCCTACAGAAGACCTCAAATAAGTTCCCTCAATATCTGAGTCATTTTCTTTACTTCAAAAGATGGAGCTGTTTACACCAATTTCACCAAACTGTGAAAATTCCTTAAGCTAATAGATAAGGAAATGCCTAGCTCACTATAGACCCTTCATAAATGTTAGCTATCTGAGAATTCTTCTGTGTTTGCTTTTTGTGCAGTGACTTATCAGATGCCCTGGTCATCTTCCAGCTGTATGAAAAGATTAAAGTCCCCGTTGATTGGAACAGAGTAAACAAACCACCATACCCCAAACTGGGGGGCAATATGAAGAAGGTAAATATGGATGTTGCAGTAGGCATAAGCCTGCAAAAGCGTCCTGTGGATACTTTATCAGGAGGCCAAACTTAGATAAGGGTGAAAATGCAGCAGGGTTTAAATTACAGCGGAGCAATCAGAAACCTAGTTTTATTAAAGCAAGTTGCTTGCTTATTTATAACTCCATGTTGGATATCTTTAAATATTATGATGTAGAAATTCTAATTAAGATGATTAGAGCAGAGCAGGGTCTCTTCCCCCAGCAAGATTCTCATTCTAATTTTTCAAAGAATTGGAACTTTGTACTGACAGTTTGTCTTGTACAAATAGTTTGTTTAATGTCAACACAGTGGGAACATATTGTTATGGAAAAGCATCAACACGGTTGGCACAAATATTTCCTACTAGCCAAGCATAGCCGCAGGAATATGTCTCATATGTCAGTCCATTGTGTGCATGTAGAATAGAGAATCCAGATTTTTTTCATGCCAACCTGTTAGAATTCAGCTATTTTAGGAATATGATGGACATAACTGAGCACGGCTCCCTGGTTAAGTAGTGTGATATAGCCATGAAAATGTCCACAATGATTAATTTATTTTGGTTTTACACTTAGAGTAAATATTTTTTGGTAGAAATGAAAGGTTTTATTTAAGAAAAGATGGAACTTTCAGTGTCTAATTTAGAATCCTAGAATTGCAGGTGCAGGCAAGACTTGAGAGATCATTTAATCTGGCCATGTTTATTTCATTGTCTTTACTTTTATTATAATTTTTTTTTGTATTTTAGCAACATAGAGATGATTACATTAGATTATTGTCCTCTTTCTTCCTTAACAGCTTGAGAATTGTAACTATGCTGTGGAATTAGGGAAGAATCAAGCTAAGTTTTCCCTGGTTGGCATTGGTGGACAAGATCTCAATGAAGGAAACCGCACACTAACATTGGCCTTGGTTTGGCAGTTAATGAGAAGGTAATGCAACTCAGGAAAATAGCTTTTTATTGAGTGTGTTATTAATGAAGAAAGGTACTAGAATTTTTTTAGGAATTTTACTTAATCTAGAAAACTATATTTTAAGCTAAACTTAAAACCAAAGAAATATTTTTAAAATGTTTCCTGATATTTTTTTTCCTTTCAGTTCTATCAGTTTTCTTCCAAGTATTTTGAAACTCTTATTAAGTTCATAAGTATTTTAGATTATTTTGTCCTTTTCATTAGGGGATGACTTTCTTTATGCCTGGTAATAGTCTTTTCTCTGAAATCTACTTTTTGTGATATTAATTAATAGAGCCACTTCAGTGTCCTGTTGATTACTGTTAGCATGGCATATTTTTCTTTCATCCTTTTGCTTTTAAATTGACTTATTGTGTTAATAACAGTATATTATCTTTAAAAGGGATTTTCAAAATATGGGGTAAATATGCTATAATTTACCTACATATTTGCCACTTCTGATACTCTTTTTTCCATGGTATACAGATTTTTGTTTGATATCATTTGCCTTCTAGTGGAACTATTTCTAATAGTGCAGAGGAATAATTTCAGCTTCTACATGTCTGAAAGGTTCATTTTTCATTTTTGGATACTTTTTTCTCAAAGATATTATTTAGCATCTTTTGGTCTGCATAGTTTCAAAAGATAAATCTTTTGTCATTTTTATTTGTATATAATATGTCTTTTTTTTTCTCAAGCTTCTTTTAAGGTTTTTCTCTTTATCACTGGTTTAAAGTGATTTGGTTTTAATGTCCTTTGATGATGTTCATAATTGAGATTTGTCATAATCTGTGGGTTGATAGTTTTAATCAAATTTGGAATAATTTGCTTAAATATGTCTCCTATACTTACCTATCCCTGTTTTAGGGGAGGACTCTAGGTACTTATATATTTGGTCACTTGAAAGTTCCCAAAGTTCATTGAAGTTCTATTCATTTTCCTCTCTATTTTTTTTCTTTCTGTGTTGTATTTGGTTTCTATTGCTTTGTATTCTAATTCATTGCTATCAACATTTAATCTTCTATTAATCCCATTCAGGTGTATAATGTTTATCCAAGACATTATAGTTTTCATGTATAAATACTTGATTTGGATCTTTTTGTCATATCCCGTAGCTCAGTGGTGGGCAAATCAAGGCTCGCGAGCCACATGTAGCTCAAGCCGTGGTTTGCCGACCACTGCCATAGCTCTTTCCTCTATCTTCTTAAACAAACAGAATATAATTCCAACAACTGTTATTTCTAGGTCTGTTTCTATTAATTGATTTTTATCCTCATTATGGGTCATATTTTCCTACTTCCTTGCATGCTTCCTAATTTTTTTTATTGTATATGAAACATTGTGGACTTTACCTTGGTGTGTGCTGGATATTTCTGTTTTCCTCTAAATAAATATTCTAGAATTTAGTCCTGGGATGTAGTTGTTACTTACTCAAAAGCAGGTGATCATTTTAAGGGTTACTTAAAGCCTTAGTTAATCTTGAGTTAATTTTGTAACTCAATATTGAGATCATCTCTTCTGGGTACTTTACTTGATGCTCCTTATATCACATAGTTCTTCCGCTATGAGTGATAAGAACCAAATTATTGCCACCCCTGAGTGAGCTCCAAGAATTGCTCTGCCCATTCATTTCTGACAATTCTTTTCCAAGCCTCTGGTAGTTTCTTCACATGCATACCAAAGACTTGCAGCAAACATTCTGAAGGTCTCTGGAACTTTCTTTCTAAATGACTCTCTTCTTTCGGCAGCTTTCTCTTCTCTGTTATTCTGTCCACAAATCCTAGGCACCTTGGCTTCCTCGAGGTTTCAGCCCTCCCCTCAACGTCATGCTCTATTTGGGTTCTCGCTCCCCACCCTGTAGCCTGGAAACACTTCACGCCATCAGCTGGGACAATCTCAGGGCAGCCAGTCTGGTTGCCCTCTTTCAGGGATCAGTTTTGCGCTTTCAGTTACCCCCACATCTGAACACATTGTTTCATGTGCTTTTTCTTTGTGTTTCATTGAATCTGAGGCAGAAGGGTGTATCAGGTCCTGTTCTTTAAAAAAAAAGTTTAGCTATTTTTTAAAACTGACTATAAAGTTGATTGCTATGAGAGCTAGATGGTAGTATTTTTAGTAATAGTGGAATATAATAAGATATACAAATATAAAATAAATTATGAGAAAAATAAGCAATTTTTGGTACACAAGTGTTTTTAGAAGACTTTTAGAAAGCAAATCTGTAAGAATAAAATAGATTACTTTTAAATGCTTTGCTTTGTCCCCTATAATGATAGCTCTGACTGGGCAGAAGTCGTATAACACTTATTAGAGCCTATGTTAATGTGACTTAATTCATTTTCCTACCTGGAAGAAAGTTCCAGAAACCAAATATCACCTTATCTTACATTTAATAAGGTAATGGCAACCACAAGTTGTGTTGTGTGTCTAGACACACAAGATTTCAGTTTCATGTCCAGGCCACTGTCTGCAGGTCTTCATAATGTTCCTCGAATTGTGTTAATGTTTCCAGGTACTGTAGGATAATCAGAAGTGATTATAATAGCTTTCACAATCTGATTCACATTTGTTTTATTAAGTTTAGTTCTCTACTACCCATTTCTCACCTGGGGCCTCCTTGAAGACTGAGGCAGGTGTCTGCTGGGGTCTTTCCACTTTAAGTGTTCAGGAATCTGGAGAAGGGGCTGTGATGTAAATGAATAAACTAGATAAGAAATATAAATTTGGAAGGCATGGGGGAAAGCCAGGCAGAGGCTTAACTCTAGTGACTAAGCTCTTCAAATCTCTGCACCCAGGGTTTTTATTCACACATTTTTTCCTCTAGCAAAGTAGATATACATATCAAAGGTAAGGTTTGGTAAACAGTAAGAGATAATCAGCTTGGGGGATCTGCCCTCAGTTGTCTGGCAGCAGGCAATAACATGCAGATCTTCAGCTCTGCTAAAGCCCCAAGATCCATCAGCCTTCTGATGAACTTCTTGCATTTTATTATACCCTGCTGGAATTTGCTGCCTCCTCTGGCTCAGAAAACTCCAGAGTTAAAGAAACTTCAACTCTATCTCTTTATATATTTCATGTATCTAGACCTGTATGTTTCTAACCAATGCATTTTCACCAGTGCATTTTCAGAAACTATTTTTGAACTTTTCTCTGTTGTCTTTCATATGTGCTTTTAATTCTTAATGAGCTGGCTTTGATACTGATTGTTTTAAAAACCAAAGCAAAAATCTTTTTAGTTGCAAAAGTTAAATTAACCTGTGAGTTTGTATATAAAATAATCTTTGATATTTTCTGTTTTAATTATTTAAAAACTCAGGCCAATTCTATTCTATTTTGAATTTCATAATATCAGAAAATCACATTATAATATAATCTTTGTTGTGGAAGTCCTATAAAAATGTGGCCCAAAGTCATACTTTATGGCTGGTATATATATATATATATATATCAAGGTCTAGTTTGCTACTGCCTCTGTTGCCATCTGGTTAATGTCACATTTCTCATGAATGTTTACTATACAAGAATTGTGCATGTAAAAAAGAGGGGAGAGAAATACATTACTGTTGAAGGCTAAATTACTAATAATTATGTAAATGCCACCAGAAGAAATTTATTTCTCTATGTGCTACACATTAACAGACCTATTAAAGGCAATTTTAGCTGGATTTATTTAATTGGATTGCACAGATGTGCTATGGTCATTGATCTGGGCAATAAAGGACATGCCTTTTTTCCCCCCTAAAAACAAATAAGAGATGTATGTTTAAACCTTTCACTTTTAGGAACCTAAAAATAGTCCTCAAGGTGCAAAGCTGGCGAACAGTGTGTGTGTAAATTTGGGGACAAAAGCCTGAAAGAAGTAGGCTGTCAGTTAGACTACAGCAAATGAGTAGAGAGAGTCTGATGCAGGTAAATAAGAGGATTCTCCCCAAATCAAACAGGCTGGGACAGTGAATTTGGCATAAGTTCTTGAAAAACAAAACACAAAGTCTTGTCCTTCTGGTTCAAAAGTTAAATAAATAAATAAAACAAGTGTTGGAAGGCAGGAAAACAAAAAAGTAATGGCTGCAGCTCCTGGAGGCCCACCCGCACACACTCTTCAATCCTGTGTGGCTGACTGAGACCCTGGCTGAAGCTGGGGTTCCAGGTGCCAGTTCATTGTGACAGAGGAGGACTTCTCAGCACCTGTGGTACTGGGATCTTGTCTGGAGAGAACTATTAATAATAGCACAGTTGTCCCAAAACATATTTGATGATATGGAATATTTCATAAGGAAAATCATAGGCAGACATAGGCCAAATTGATTTCTGTTTTAAATTTTGTATCTACATTTAGTGCTTAGAGTTGAAGCTCTGACTTAATTATATCCTTCCTTCCCTTTGTTTTTACCACTGTCCTCACTACCATTTTAAACCTCTGCATCTCCCAAGAGGTGACAGAAAGCCAACTTTGTGTTCACCAGAGCTCTGTGCCACTGTGAGGGGCCACTCTCAGACACCTGAATGCAATGAGCTGCTGCCATGGTTTTCTGCATCTTTTTAAACTTTCCTGTTCTTTAGTAACTTATTTTGAAAATATTTTCCTGGGTAGACATTTGTGTAAAGGTGAGCCTTTCCTCTATTCCATTTGCTTCCCTAGTTCAAGAAGTAGGTTAAAAGCACTGCTTCTATCGATGTGAGAGTGTCAATAAAACAGGCTGGGGCTCTAGACAAAGAGGCGTGAGAATTCAGTCCTGAGATGAGTAAAGCTGCTAGATTAAACTTTGTTTTCATCAAACTATACATAGACAGAACTTAAGGAAGCAAGCACTAACATACCATCCTTAATGACTTTACTAGGAAGAAATGCTTAAATGTAATGGTTGATGATAATAACTTAATACACATGATAATTATTAAGAAACTAGAGACCCGATCCATGAAGATTTGTGCAAAAATGGGCCTTTCTTCCCCTGACTGCCAACACTGCCTTCACTCTGGCCAGAGCCATCTTTCTGCCTTCCCACATTGCCCAGAGGCCATGAGTGGCTGGACAGTGCAGAATGCCTGTGTCATTGCTATGGCAAATACGCAAGCAACCCGCCCTTAGCCGCTCAGCGTCTGCATATGCAAATTAACCCACCATCTTTGTTGGGTTAATTTGCATACTCATTCCTGATCCTGAGTATGCAAATTGGCTAGTGGGTGTTGTGAAGGTACGGTCAATTTGCACCCTTCTCTTTTATTAGTGTAGACAAAAAGCTAATGTTGCCATAAAGCATCATTATTATAAACAGATCAAAACTAGGACTTTTTCTAAACTATGGATATTTTAAAAATCTACCTGACACTTAACCCATTTGTCTTCATTAGTCTTTTGCATTTTGGTCCCATCTCTGGGTCCACATTAAATATTACCCTTCTTGACTTTCTTCTTGCTTTCTATGGGAGGGACCATTCTATTTATTTTACCCACTACTTCACTCCTCTATATACTAGATGCTCAATATGTACTAGGCAACCTTAAAAACAATATGATGAACAAGGTTATGGATTTTGTCTGAGATGACATGGTAGGCAGAGACATGCACATCAATTCCATCAGAAGTTCTAGGAAACAGGTAAATGCTTCACTGAAAATTGTTCAAAGAATTAGAAATCCACTCCCAGAGAACAAAGCTAACTCAGAGAGTCAGGATGCATAGTTTGGTTGGGGAGCTGCTGATGGTTCTGTGAGATTAAAATGTAAGTGTGTTTTTAGGGGGCTTGAGAATAAGGCCAAGAAGGAAGGAGGGAATAAGAAATAAGAGGTGCATGAGAAGAAGGGCCAAGACCAAATTATGAAGGACCTCATGTGCCTGTATTCTTTGGGTCATGGAAGGTCACTTTAAATGAAATGACCAGAACTGTACGTTGAAGGAAAATTCTATGAGGAGAAGCAGAATGAAGAGGAGCCAGTTGATATGAGGGAGTTTGAAGAGGTATAATTGAGATTGATGCCAGATTGGTAAACATAATCACACACACATACACATACACACACACACACACACACTCACACACACACACAGTGGAGCAAAAGTAGGTTTACAGTTATTTGTATGGAAAATAATAATAATAATAATAATAATAATACAAGAATAAACTCTGTATTTCACATACTCACAAATGTAAACCTATTTTTGCCCTGCTTGTATATAACTGCAGGAGCCCTTTTCCTCCCAGCTACAATGATGGAAAGTAGCTGTAACCTGGAGGAAGCAGAACATCACTCCTCTTTCAGAGATTAAACTTGAAAGCCATGTGGAAAATTGTGGGAGAATTGTGTTTTCCATAGAATCAGTAATTGGGAAAGTACACTTGATGTATTATGTACACAATCCTAGGCAACCAACTGGAGGGTGACCTCATTTGAGTAGACCCCATTGAGTAGACTCAATGGCAGGATACTTGAGTTTCAGAGTGAGCAGTACACATTGAAACCCTCGCCCTGAATGTTTTATATGGGTAATTTGACCCTCTCCTGAAAGCCTGAACCTTTAGGCCTGTGGTTGGCAAACTGCAGCTCGCGAGCCACACACAGTTCTTTGGCTCCTTGAGTGTGGCTCTTCCACAAAATACCATGGCCTGGGCAGGTCTATTTTGAAGAAGTGGCATTAGAAGAAGTCTAAGTTTAAAAAATTTGGCTCTCAAACAAAATTTCAATCCTGTATTGTTGACATAATGAGTTTGCCGATCACTACTTTAGGCCAACAAACCTGCTCAAATGCTTGGCTTTCTTCTGTGTATTTCACCTTTCAGAGGGAGTTGACTTAGGGAATGGTGAGTCTTATCTGCTCCATGAAATGTTAAGAGTTTTGAAGCTTTCTAATAAGTTTCACAAACAAAACCAATTCTTATAACACTATCCAAGGTGATTCTTACTCTCAGACTGGGGATTAACTGGTTTCTGTTTAAAGTGACCTTCACTGTGAGGATTCCTAATATATCTGTTCTATGATATATATTTTTTAGAATTATATATTTAATGTGTTGGCTACTTGGGTCTTTCTAACATTGACTTTTTCCTTCATTGTTTATGATCCTTTAAAGAAAAGCATTACTGGTTCAGATCTTTTGCATCATTTCCCTGTCCTCGCTTCTCTTCTCTTCTGACCCAAGAAGTAATGACAGTGCTTAGGAGGCATTTGCTTTGCATCTCATTCTAACAACCATAAAGCTGTGTTTTAAGTTATCCTAAAAAGAATGAATATATATATATAACCCTCCCCCCTTGTCCCTCATTAATGTAGCAGTGTCCTGGCTATCTTTTTGTGACATACCTAAAAAGAAAAGAATATCTTCTACTTTAGCTACTTTCTGTGATATAGAAATATTTAGCAACTTTTTTTTCAAAAAATCATTCTTGATTTTTATTCAGGTACACACTGAGTATTCTGGAAGAAATTGGAGGTGGACAGAAGGTCAATGATGACATTATTGTCAACTGGGTAAATGAAACATTGAAGGAAGCAGGAAAACGTTCATCCATCTCTAGTTTCAAGGTAAAATTCTTAGTCTGCTGCTTGTGACCACCTGAGTTCCATGCTTATCCTTATTGTTTTCTATCTGTTTTAAAGTGACTGTAAGTGTGAGATAGCTCGGGTTCCCTCCAATTATGATTTTGCAGAATGATCCATTATTGTTTTGCTGTTCATAGCTATTTCATTGACAAATTTCTTATCACTTTCTCCTGTAATAATTAACTTTAAAAACCATTTTTACATACATTTTGGGTTTTGTTCTTGTATGATATTATTTTTTTAATCTTTATTGTTGAAAATATTACATATGTCCCCTTTTTTTTCTCATTGACCTCTCCCACCTTGCACCCATCCCATCCCAGGTCTTCACCACCCTATTGTCTGTGTCCATGGATTATGCATATATGCATATGAGTTCATTGGTTAATCTTCCCCACTTGGCCTCCCCTGCCTTCCCTCTGAGGTTTGACAGTCTGTCGATGCTTCTATGTCTCTGGGATTATTTTTGTTCATCATTTTATGTTGTTCATTAGATTCCACATGTGAGTGAGACCATGTTTCAATAATATTCTTAAAATGTGCATAGCTCCAAGATTCAGATTGTTAACATTATGATGGTAAAATATAAAATGCTAAAATATCTCCCATGCACTATTTTCTGAGAGAAAAAAAAAGCAGTTGTATACTTGTATCTAATTCCCATTTTTTATTAATAATAACATCTTTTATTAAATTTCTTACGTAGTTCATGTTTCCTACATTAACTGGATCCTTCCTCAAGGGACCTGTGCCCTTGATCCATATTATAAAATTTGTGCCATTTTACCTGCATTTAAAGATCAATATTTGGAGAAAGGACAACTTTGGAGTTGTATTAACAAATTTAGTGAGGCAGTTGATTATGATATCAATCCTCTGCTTCAAAATCAAGAAAAAAAGTAAAATCTCCTCCCACCAGAAAGGGCAGAAAGGTTGGGCGTACCAGGAGTGCTCAGTTCCAGTGAGTTCATCACACATAGCAGTCCCTCTATCCCCTCGCCACCTACTGCTCAGTTTGGATTGCTGAGTGGAGGTATGGAGGCTGGTGAGAGAAAAATGGTTGGAGAGGTGGCGGAGAAGAGCAAAGGAGAAGGGCATGTCCCATGTGGAATGCTCTCTGGGAACCAGGGCTCCTTTTTTAATGTCTCATTTCATCTTCACAGACATTGTGAAGTCAGCTTTATGGTTTTTCTCACATTATAGGTGAGGAAACTGGAACTCAAGTAACTCCTGAGGTTAGTGCTAGTGACTGCAGGTGAGAGTCCATCAGTGAGGAGAAAGTGTCTTTTACCTGTGGGTGAGGTTGCAGAGTATATCTATAGGTCATTTAACCATTACTGTGAAGTGACTGGTTAAATAACCCAAGGTGCCTCTCTCTGTAAACAGCTGCCCTGACGTCCATTACTCCCTCCGCTGGGGTGCTTTCTTGGGGTTTTGCTCTTGGGAATGTTTGACAATTATTTGCTCCTTGTTTCTCTCCGGACTAACTTTCTCCTGTCCTCTCACTAAGTCATTTCAGAGTTAAATAAAAAGGACTATAAAAGGAGAATGTCAAATTAACCCCAGATTGCTTTATAAGTGAAACTCTTTAAAAAAAAAAAAAAAAAAAAAAAGCACACAACTCACAGTTGAGTAACTATTGTGGAAATCATTCCTTGTCCCCTCCTCATCTATGAGTGTTAACAATTGCAGACCATATCTCTATCTGTCAGCACTTTCACAAGATTGTGGACAGGAAGTAGGAAAGAAGGTAAAACTCAAATCTTTGTATTTTGCTCCCCTGGTGCTTCTTCACCAGAAATTAGATTATAATTATAAATTCATTTTAATTTTGTGTTAGTTTTTATGTTATCCAGGGGTAAATAAAAATGGACCTACTCTATTTTTAAAAATATTATTCTACATATACAGAGAACCAATGCTAGAAATATAACATCTTGCAGGTGTCCTATGCCTTGTTTCTTGCTTAGAATTGATTCTGATTTGGACCCTTGAAGTATGAAGTGTTTAGACTTGACTGTGCTTGGATGGAGGTAAACAGTTGCCTCTCCATGTCTGCTCTCACAGATCTCTAGGAGAGAGAGCAGATGGTGCAGAGTTTTGTGTCGTTCAGTAGGGGAACATTTACAGCTCCAGGTGTGACCATCAAAATGTTTACAAATGCTAAAGAAAGAGACCTGGTTTTTTAATCAGAATATCTGAGTTCAAATCCCAGCTCCATCACTTACCAGCAAGTTACTAAACCTCAGAAACTTCCTTTACTCACTGTAAATTAAATTCAGGTGCCTACATCTATGGTGCCAAGTGAGAAAAGGTGAAAAGATTTTAAAAGGTGAAAAGATTAAGCAAAATAAAATTATTTTTAATTCATAGACACAGACAATATGATGGTGATTCCCAGAGGGAAAGACGGGTAGTGGAGGTAGAAAAGAGTAAAGGGAAATAAGTGGTGAGGACAGACTGGATTTGGGGTGGTGAACACACAATACAATACAGATGATGTATTGTAGATTTGAACACTTGAAAGCTTTATAATTTTATTAACCAATATCACCCCAATAAATTCAATAAAAAGGGGGGGGGAGAATTACTGTGGGAAGAGAAGAAAATTCAACCTACAATTGTAAAAAAAAAAAAAAAAAAAAGTGCTAAGCAAACTGTGAGACACCAACAAAGATTAGTTACTGTCATTTCATTTAATCACATAATTGTCAACACTGTCTCCCTGGACCTATGGACTCTTTTCTTTCCTTGAGGGCTCCAAGAAATGAGCATCTACTGAAACTACCGTCCAAGCGAGCTCTCGTCACTATCCCTGCCATCACCTCTGGGATATCCTCCCAAATGAAGCAAGGTTTCTCCCAGCATCTTTGGTCTCTCCTTCTTGATGGTTTTTGTTTGTTTGTTTTTATCAAATCTTTCCTTTCTTTGTTCATACCAGTAGTTAAATTAAACATTTCAACCTCTCTGCTTTCTCTAGTTGTGCTTACTTTCATTCACATGCTATTTGAGAATAGCTCCCTGCCTGTTGGCAGACAATGGGTTTCCTCTGCTTATTGAGCTACTTAGGAAGTTATTGATGCCTCTACAGAAGCTACAATTGATTTGAAACTACAATTAATGTGCAACTCTGCTGCATTTTCCAGAACAGGCTGCATATATTTCATATTTGAGAGGAAAGAACTACCCACTTCCCTTGAACGAAATAGAAGTAACCTGGGAACATACTGATAAAACCCTCCGTTCTCTTGCAGGACCCAAAGATTAGTACAAGTTTGCCCGTTCTGGATCTCATTGATGCCATTCAGCCAGGTTCCATTAACTATGACCTTCTGAAGACAGAGAACCTGAACGACGAAGAGAAACTCAACAATGCAAAGTACGTAAATAGACCTGAGGTCAGAGAGAGAAGGACCCAACTGGCAACTGGATATCTATAAAGTCTATCATTTGTGCCTTTATGCAAACACTTTTCACTACTTTCATTTCGTTTTTCTTCTTGTGCTTGTTGTGTCCCATCATCAGTATTTTAGATATTGTACAGTAGTAGTTTTATGTCTCCTGGGATTACAGAGAGCAAGACAAAAAGTAAGCGTATTCTTCCAATTGATAAGCAAGCTTATATTTTCATAAAACCAATTTTCTAATCATAATTATAGGACACTATACTTAGTTTGTATATGGCAAGCCTGAACACAAACACCCTTTTTGTGAAAATCCATGTATACACATAGCAGGGGGTGAGGTTCAAGATAAGAGCCTTCTCCAACTTGGAAGCAACTGCGATTTGATTTACCACATTGGGGGGTGGAGGGGGTGGTCAGCAGACAACTATATAGTCTGTGAGCCAAATGTGGCCTGTCATCTGCTTTTATAAAGTTTTATTGAAACACAGCTGTGCTTATTTATCCATATTTTTATAGCTGCTTCCCTGCTGCAATGGCAGAGTTGACTGACTATGGCAAAGCCCACAAAGTCTGAAATATTTACTATCTGGTCCTTTGTGGAAGTTTGCTGACCGCTACTCCAGAGAAGCGCCTTTCTCAGAGTAGCCCCTTTCTAAGGGCTGCTATTGCAAAATACCACAAGCAAGGTGACTTCAAAGAAATTTATTCTCTCGCAGTCTGTAGGGTAAATGTCCAAGATCAAGTGTCAGCAGTGTTGGCTCCTTCCAAGGGCTGTGAGGGAGAATCTGTTCCCTCCCCCTCTCCTGTCTCTGGCCTTGGCCAGCAAGCCTTGGTGTGTAGATGTATTACTCCAGTCTCTGCCCCCATCCTCACATGGCCTTATTCCTATGTCTGTGACTTCACATGGCTGTCTTCCCTCTGTGTGTGTATTTGTGTCTCTTCCACTGTTCTTAAAAAGAAACCAAGACGCCGAAACCGGTTTGGCTCAGTGGTATAGTGTTGGCCTGCGGACTAAAAGGTCCCGGGTTCGATTCCGGTCAAAGGCATGTACCTTGGTTGCGGGCACATTCCCAGTAGGGGGTGTGCAAGAGGCAGCTGGTCAATGTTTCTCTCTCATCGACGTTTCTAGCTCTATAGCTCTCTCCCTTCCTCTCTGTAAAAAATCAATAAAATATTAAAAAAAAAAAAAAAAAAGAAAAAGAAAAAAAGAAACTAAGTCATATTGGATTAGAGTCCCACACTAATCCAACATGACCTCAACTTAACTGATTGCATCTTTAAAAACCTAATTACCAAATGAGGTAGGAATCGGAGGTCCTAGGGGAGAGGGCTTTTACATACCCTTTTTGAGGAACACAATTCAACCCCAACAGTGTCCTCTCTGATCCCAATTTCGGGAAGTGGGGACCTGCATTTCTGGTATGCTGATGTTTAGCACAATATAATGAAGAGAAGATAAATAATTAAATGGCAATTATAATGCAGTGTGATAGATGGTATGGAAGGGGAGTACAGGATGCTATCAAGGAGACAGAAAAGAAATGGGAGCTCTGCAGAGCAAATGACATCAATGCTGAGATGGATTAAAAGGACAAGTAAGAAGGAGCTAAACAGGGAAGGAGATAAGAAAACACTCCAAGTAAAGGGAAGAACATGTATGAAGACCCAGAATTTTTTTTTTTTTTTATGTCAAAAAGAGCTTGAGTCTAGATGTTCAAGATGGTTATGATTAGGTTTAAGGAACTTGCTCAAAATTTTACAATTTAGTGGTTCTGTTAAGATTCAAAGTCTGACTTCAAGGCCCAGGCTCCTAAGTACTATCCTATAAGGGCAAGATACAAAATTACTTCTAAAATGGCTAATAGGAATTATAAAAAATCTTCAAAATTCTATGATGGCAAGGTTATGCATGATATTTGAAGCTCTACTTTTTCTTTATATTTTATAATGGAAGATACATTTTATTTCATTAATAATTAATATAAAGGAATTGAGAGATGGACAAGAAGAATGGGGACTACCCCAACCTGGTACTCTTAATTTAATTGATCCATAAAGTAAGAATAGTTATTTTAAGGGAACAGAAGTGATGGGACCTTGGGAACAATGGAGAATCTCTGGAGTAGTCATTGTAAGAAGTTACTAGATAATAAACAAAGTGAATGAAAAAAGTGACAGGTAGTAATGTAGGCCCATTTGAAAATAGATTATAGCTAATTATCTTCCTATACCTATAAATAGAGCAAAAATGTTCTGCTGCAGCTATGATCATTTTATGTAGAAAATGTATAATATAAAACTGGCTATTCTAATGTTATAGCAGCATAAATAAACACATGTATATGTGCATAAGAACGGGAATGGAGCAAGGAATAAAATAATTGATTTGTAAGGTCAAAATATTGAAATATAGTCTGTAAACTTTTGTAGTTGAAATATAGTCTGCTCACTTTTCCTAGCACATATTCTTTTCCAGTTTGATGACTTTTTTTTTAAATATATTTTATTGATTTTTTTTTACAGAGTGAAGGAAGGGAGAGAGATAGAGAGCTAGAAACGTCGATGAGAGAGAAACATCAACCAGCTGCCTCTTGCACACCCCCTACCGGGGATGTGCCCACAACCAACGTACATGCCCTTGACCGGAATCGAACCTGGGACCTTTCAGTCCGCAGACTGACGCTCTACCACTGAGCCAAACCGGGTTTGGCCAGTTTGATGACATTTTTCTGCTGCTATATAGCCCACGAAAATACTCATGATAAAAGCATCAAAAGTGGCAGGAGCTAAGAAAATATCTAAGGACAAGTAATACATTTGGTATACTAGACAGCAAGTCTGATGGAGTCAGGAGTTTTATCAACCCAAGATTTGCCCCTAAAAGTGAGAGGATGTCAGTGACCAGCTCTAACCATACCTGCAGTGAGCTTTGTGTTATATATAGTTTGCAGTAGTGTACAGTATAGAATGATTATACCAATATCCTAAGGGTCCCCTTCATGCTTTGTTGCTCTGGCTCTTCTCATTCTTCTCGTTTTCTCCCTTTTAGGTATGCCATCTCTATGGCCCGAAAAATTGGAGCAAGAGTGTATGCCCTTCCAGAAGACCTGGTTGAAGTGAACCCCAAAATGGTCATGACAGTGTTTGCTTGCCTCATGGGGAAAGGAATGAAGAGGGTGTAAGGCCTAGTGGAATGGGGCTGGAGGTGGCAAACCTGATTGCTCAGCACTAGATGCTCCCAGGAAGCACAGAGATGATTCAAGCCATTCCAAACTTTTCAACTTGGTGACTCATACAAGAGTCCAAAAAAATGTGTATTTGTTCAACCAGGTAGCCTTTCCTGTATTTAACAAAAAGTGCTTCATTCTTTGCAAAAGATCCAATTTCTTACAAATATTTTTTTACCATTAAATTTATTGCTTCTTTGAAAATCTAGAGAGAGAGAGAGAGAAAAAAAAAGAACTTATTTTTCTGGTACCATTCCTACTTTCTGCCATTAGTCAAGTATAGAAGCTGCAGTGTTATTAATTTTAATATAATCTTTCAACCAGTTTAATATGGCTGCGTTTTTGTTTAAGGTGAGGATCAGCAGAGGGAATCATCAAACCAACCCCAAAAATGTTTCTGAAGGCCAGCATTTGGTCTGTGACAAGCCTTTCTTTCTGTTCCCCTTCTCCTTCACTCTACCTCCCTGTGACTTCGCTCTCCACCCTCTCAGGACTGTGCCTTTTCCGTGACCCACCGCTGTAGGCCATTCCTGCCTCTGGGCCATCTGGAGCATCTGACAAATCAGTCAGGCTACTGGGACCCCAGTAGTCTCCGGGAACCTGTAGAAGTAAGACACATCATCAGAGCTTTTCCTCAGAACTAGGGTCCCATTTGTTATCAGTTTTAGTTTTATTTTCAGCCAATAGAAAGCCCTCTGTTTTTTAATGTTTTGTTTCTAACATCTTTAATATTATGCTCTTGGTTAGATCCAAGCAGGATGTAATTGAGCAGCAAACCACCAGGGGCCAGCATGAAGCCATAAAAAAGCACCTAGCCTTTGGTGCTGCTTCTCCATGTCCTGAGCCCTGGATGTTGGGCCTAGTTATCTGGTATGGCTAAATATCTAGTGAGTGGGAACAATCCTGCTCTGCTTTAATTTGCTCTGAGATCTCAATGTACCTGATTGCTGCCAGGCCATATTATCAATGTTTACTTTTTTGGTACTGTAAAAGCTTTTTGCAATTCCCAAACTCCCAGGGGACAGTATGTGCCAATGAACAGGGACCACAGCTTACGCCCTAACACTGACACACATACACACACACACACACACACACACACACACACACACACACATACACACACCTACCCATACCTAGATAATAACTGGCTAAGTTGCTTTACAAATACCTAATTTATTGGGTATTTAAAGAATTTCTAAATAAAACCAAAGGGACGCTGAGAATTTGAGCAAACCTAATAGGATATACAGTTTCATGTAAAGCTCCTGAAAGCTAAAAAACAACCGAACATTGTGAACCAGCACCAGACTTCCTCCATAGTGCTGAAAGGGTTCATCAGTGAGTACCTTCTTTAGCAGTGGTATGTTATGGAACTTAGCTATTTTACAGAGCAATTGAAATATCACCCCAAATCTGTTCCTTGGCAGTGGGCTCAGGAAGCCAAAGTGTGCCTTCTGTGGCATCTGAATGCAAAGTGGTTGGTTTTATTTTACTCTGCACTTAATGCAGCCTCAGATGATTCTCTTCCATCTGCGTCCAGAAGAATGTTACCGCCTTAATTGAAAATGAAGCTAATGTTCAGAATCTCTTCAAATAAAATGTTCCTTATATTGCATCTCCTTTGATGGTTTTATAGCTCATTCATTCATTCATTCATTTATTCAGCCAGCACTCACTAATTGCCTAACTGAGTGCCAGACACTGCAAAGTTTGGGAATCTACCTATAAATGAGACAGGCATTGCAGTCAATTGATCAGGAAAGACATTAAATAAACTGGCAGGTGCAGTAAGTGATTAATAAAGGCAGGGTGAAACGAGCTTAGAGGAAACAGTCTAAGAAACATTTTGGTTGAAAACTGAAGAATGGATTGGAAATAGTTTGACAAAGCAGAGGCTAAAATTAGAGTAGAGACACAAATTCTCAGAAACACACCGAACCTAGTCATGAACAAAAGCCAGACTTGGATATTGATGCGATACAGATTTTAGCATAATTTGAGAAGGAATCTTTGGGATTGGTAGTGCCAGGGGTCCTCCCTAGCCTGGCTGAGCCTCACTTTGGCAGGCTGAGGGAAGGGATGTTGCTGAGATATTCTGCTGCAGTGTCCCTGCCAGGTGGGCTGTTATGACAGAAAAGCATCTATGTAGCATGGTCACTTCCTTACCAGGAGGCACCACATACCACACAGCGTCTAGGAAGCCGGGCTTTTGTGCCTAAGCTGTGTGTCCTGGCTGCACTAGCAGCAGCTTTTTGGCGATGGCTCATTCCTGGCCAGAACATTCCTGCAGCTCTGCACTTCCCTACAAATAAAGGGGTTACAAATATTAACTATTTTTTGTACAAGATTGCACTGATAGGTTTCCTGAATGAGTTCTGGGTAGCAGAATAAGTACTCTCAAGAAAGGAAAACCAAGACTCTCTTGAAGAAGAAAAGGACAAAGGAATGTAGCAATCTCAGCATGATCATTTTTCAAATTTAAAGTTTATTGTTACATTTTAAATAGTCAGTACAAGAGAAACCAAGATGGTGGCATAGCTAAACACCTGAACTTGCTGCCTCGCATAACAATTTCAAAACTATAACTAAAAGACAAAATAGACATCATCCGGAACCACAGGAAGGCTGGTTAAGTGGAAATTCTACAACTAGAAGGGAAGAGAAAAGTACACAGAGGAGCTGCAGAAGTAAAGTGCAGAGGTACTGAGGTGCGCGTGTGCATGGAGAGGGCTGGCAACTAAGTACGCACCTGACTTTTTCAATTGAGAGGGAGACACAAGCTCCTGACTGCTCTGAACTCCAGTTCCAGGCAAGACTCTGAGGACCCAGACTCATACGGGGAGAAACTGGACTGTCTAGCAGCGGGCAAAACTCAAGGGTGGCTTACTCTCAGAGGTGCTTGCAGCGATTACTGTGGGACAATGAGACCCAGGGGCCTCTTAGAGCATGGCTGATGGGAAGCCATTGCTGTTTGCTCCACCCTGAGACTCTGCCCCATCCAAGCTGTATGCAGAGGCTTTTGCATATGAATGGCTTATTCCTAAGAAATATAAACTTACCTAACAAAGTGTAGCTGAGTCAGAGAGACCCAGGACATCCAAAAGAAGGCCCAAGACCCCACAGAAGCTTATATTGCCTCACAGCTGGGCCTCATGTGGACACCTCCAAAACCCAAACAAAAGAGTGGAATCTACAAATCTCTCTGTTGCTCCTGCTGGGTGGCCTCAGGCAGAGGCTAAATTAGCACCTCCTTGAAGATCCAAGAGCCAGTGTACCCAGTGGTCAGAGTAGGACCTTCCAGATTACAACTCAGATCCATAAGGGATACACTCAGGGGGCACACTCAGTGAGCACCAAAGCCCCACTGAAGCAAGTCTTGCCTCATAAGGGTGTCTCCATCACAGAAGTTCTCCTATCATAGACACAGCTGATTCTCACAGCCAATTGGCCTGGAGATCAAGTCCCCCTAGTAATACCAACAACAATCAAGGCTTTACTACAACAAGCCTGTGCACACAGTCCACAAAGGGGTGCACCAAGAGTGTCCACCTTAAGTAACTTGGGAGGCTGAGCCACTGGGCCCTATAGGACACCTAGTACACAAAACCACTCTATCAACTCAGAGAAGCAGCCAAAATGCAGAGACAAAGAAACATATCACAAATGAAAAAAATGGAGGAAAGCAAATGACTGGATATAGAGTTCAAAACCACAGTTATAAGCTTTTTCAAGAATTTCCTAGAAAAGGCTGATAAATTTAATGAGACCCTAGAGGATATGAAAAAGGACCAACTAGAAATTAAGCATACTCCGACTGAAATAAAAAATAATATACAGAGATCCAACAGCAGACTAGAGGATAGTAAGAATCAAGTCAAAGATTTGAAATACAAAGAAGCAAAAACACTCCTCTAGAAAAGCAAAAAGAAAAAAAGAATCCAAAAATATGAAAATAATGTAAGGAGCCTTTGGGACAACTTCAAACATACCAACATCCAAAGTATGGGGGTGCCAGAAGAGAGAGAGCAAGATACTGAAAACCTATTAGAAGAAATAATGATAGAAAACTTCCCCACCTGGTGAAAGAAATAGACTTACAAGTCCAGAAAGCACAGAGAACCCAAAATAAAGTAATCCAAAGAGGACTACACCAAAATACATCATAATTAAAATGCCAACAGCAAAAGACAAAGAGAGAATATTAAAAGCAGCAAGAGAAAAACAGTTAATTACCTACAAGGGAGCACCCAGACAATTGTCAGCTGATTTCTCAAGAGAAACTATGCAGGCTAGATGGGAATGGCAAAAAATATTCAAAGTGATAAATAGCAAGAACCTACAACCAATATTGTTCTACTCAGCAAAGCTATCATTCAAAATGGAAGGTCAGATAAAGAGCTTCACAGATAAGAAAAAGCAAAAGGAGTTAAACACTGCCAAACTAGTAACGATATTATATGAGATGCTGAAAGGTAGTCTAAAAGAAAAGGAAGAAAAAAAAGGTAAAGATAAAAAATTATGAACAACAAATACATATCTATCAACAAGTGAATCTAAAAATAGAGTGAATAAAAAATGTGATGAACAGAATAATCTGGTGAATATAATAGAATTAGGGGCATAGAAAGGGAGTGGACTGATAATTATCCGGGGGAAATGGGTGGGGGAGCAGGAAGAGACTGGACAAAAATTATACACTTATGGATGATGACAGTGGGAGGGTGGGGGGTGTTCGGGCATGGGGTAGGGTATGAGCCGGGTGAAGAGGAACTATGGGGGGAGGGGAGGAAAGAGGAACAACTGTAATAATCTGAACAATAAAGGTTTTTTTTTAATAAAATAAATAATAATAAATAGTCCAAGTATGTCATCAAAAATTAAATTTGTACCAAAGGTCTACAATGGAAAGTAGGCCACCTTCCCACCCACATGTCTAATGGTATGCTTTGCAG